AAAGCCCCCTTATATGAATCCGCCCCTCATGCCTGGTCAGTTACAGATCAGTCTAGTCAAGAAAATAGAGTTCTCGGTCGACAAAGGACAGTCCACAGTGCTCCCCGGTAATGACATCAGGAGATCGACGCATTGAGCGCATTTAGGGTGCTCGCACACCGCATCTCTATACAGACTACCTGGATTATATAGATGAGCATGCTCAGCCAAAGCCTCGCTATACAGGCTGCACGTAATAGGTACATACAGGCCACCGCTGATGAGCACGCAGCCATATCGCTTCTCAGAGGAGCATTCGCTCTTCCAGTCGCGTCATGACAGCCTCGGGGCGGGCCGTGGGCCGTTATGGCATTGCCTTTCATACGTCACAGAGAACCTCTCCCGCGGCTCCCAGCCATTACGGCGGGAGGTGTCTGACTGACCGAGCTGCGGTCTAACGTCACGTCACGCCACATCATGCTGCGTCACGTCACCAGAGACCCAGTTTCTGAGCGGGGAACTGGCGGCGGCATTGACATGGGTCCGAGCGAAGACGTCTAATTGGCTGTCAGCAGATTGGTGGCAGCTATATAGCCATGGTGATATCGCATCAGCTGGATCCCGTTCCAGCTGAATGTGCCGAGGAACTGACATTCAGCGACGAGTTTCAGTGACTTTCAGGCACTGGTGGTGGAGTGACGCACATGTGACAGAGTAGTGACACCTGCTGACACCTGTTGTAGCCGATTGGAGGGCTGACGCTGCGCAGCTGCTTATCCCGCGCAGATTTCATAGCAGCAAGGCCATACCTATATAGGAGGTAGCGACACAGCGATTTGTTTACAGCCAGTTTCGAACCCAATGACGCAAATGTGTCGTCACTGCAAGATGGCCGCCTCTAATGAGACACAAGTGCAATAAGTTCCCGGATGTAGACAGCACTGACGTCACCGGGATCGAAACTAATGACATCAGTACTCGATCCATGGCGAAGCAAAGTAGTGACATCCCCCATAATAGGCGAGCAACTGTAGACTAGCTTGTAGGTTGTTATAGGTTGCAGGTTGTAGGTTGTAGGTTAGGTTGGAAAAGCTTAGGTTAGATATGAATATCTTACTATTTTTATTTTCCATTCTTTTCTATTTCATTTGTTTAAGGGAATAGGGTAGCCTGGGGCAAGACGCCCCAGATAATTTATTTTGCTACATAACTTTTGTCCCACATCACCTGGAAGGCCAAATTTGTGCTCAATGCGTTCTTTGGACATTTTACTTTAAATTCCACCCCTCAAATTCATTCACTTATGATCGGACTCCCAGCTAGGAAGTGATTTGTGAAGCAACTGCAAATGGGGCATTTTGCCCCAACCCCAGGGCAAAACGCCCCACGGCCTGGGGCAAGACGCCCCATACTCTAGATTAAAGATTGAACATGCTAGTTGACTAAATCTTATATGAGAGGCCCGTTAGACCTTGGGAGGCACGGCACTGAAGTTAGCACCTTCCATCCTGTCAGGTGTTCAGCTATGACACTATTGTATGTACAGGTTTTTCACCTGTCTCATAAGGCCAAATAATAAATTATTGTAATGCAAATGTTAACAAAATACTTCCTTTGTCATTAATTTGCTGAGAAAGGTACATAAAATTGCATAGAAACTTACTGTTCGCCAGCAACCGAACATTAGGAAGTGGATAGTCGGAACAACACATGAGGTAAAACGCCCCATGGGGCTTTTTGCCCCGCGACCTACTGGGGCGTTTTACCCCATCACGTAGTTTGGTCAGAGAACAACGCCTTGCACTCCAGCAAGGCATAATTTAAAACGGACCAACCCAGCATTATAAGCGTTAGACAATAGTTGTTCAAAATACATAAAAGTCGTTAACCTGATGTGAACCATAAAAGAACCCCATGATACATAATCTGACTACAAAACATAAAAATCACTCCAAAAACAAATTTTTGGCTATATCTCACTAAAGAGTTATCACAATATCTTTCCAGTCTGCTCATATAATGATCATATAGTGCACGTTTTAAAGAAGAGAGAATGTTTCCCCAGAACCTTGCCAGTTCCGAGAAACATCGGTGAGGCGTTTTACCTCGGCGGGGCGACTTGCCCCGGTCTACCCTACCTAGTTCACTTTCACGAAATAAGTTTTTTTTTGCAATGCATTTATGATTTTTTATGCTCAAAATGATCAGCAAAGAAAATAAAACCTTTTTGTAAGAAAGATTAGGTATATTCTATGTTTTAATCGTGGTTTTAACCCTCGCATGTGTAGGGGGGGGTCGAATGGACCCCCCATGGTTTTTCGCGAATAACTCGCGTAAAAAGCGGCCGATCGCGACGAAACTTTCAGTACCCTCGCATTGATCAATTTTACACCTACCCTGAAAATTTCATGACCCTGACCCAAATGACCTTTGACCTGTGACCTCTTTTCCGAGACCATGTTTGGCCGGAATCGCGATTCGGTGTACGTCGACTCGCATTAGCCGCGCGTTTGCAAGCTTTTCGTGGTTTCAAACGTTCAAACATGTGATGTGATGTTGCTTCCATGCATTAGGGTGGGTGTCAAGGTCACCTGAAGGTCAGGTCAGGTCATTGACCTTTGGTGACCTCGGGTGACCTCGGTTCACTTTTTCGAGTTTTACATGTTTCTAGGCTAGTTTTTGGAGCTGAATTCGAATGTAGCAACCATTTGAACATTTACGAAGTAGTTTTGGGGCCTTCGTAACATGTTACGAAGCTGTCAGAGGCGGTTGACACGTACTCCGAATACCCGTCACGACGCCTACTGGTTGACCTGACCTGACCTGACCCGACCTGGTCTAAATGCTTAAAGGCATCATCTGTGATCAAAACTAACACGATATTCGTGATCAGCACCCCGAAAAACCTCTCAGCAGCCACACTTTACGACTTTCTAATAGGTCCCGATTTTCCCGACTTTGGGTCATTGACCTGACCTGGAAGGTCAACCAATGACCTAGGACCTTAAAATTGGGTATCATCGGCTTCCTTTCGTCACGGGCAACACGCTCGTTTTTTCCGCGAAGCTGTAGCTCGATCAGGGGCCAAACGGCAAGGGGGGGTCCAACCGACCCCCCCCCTACACATTAGAAGCTGGAAAACGCCGCACACATGCGAGGGTTAATATAGGAAGAACTCTTCAGTTTTACAAGAGGGAAATGACCCCTGCAATGCACACATTTCTCAGTAAGGCACTTTTTCTTTTTTCGGGACGAGAAATGGAATATCTTTGCCTAGGGTGATCGTTGGGCTGTTAACCCGGCAGGCGGTGGGCCTACCAGCCACCTTCCGCGCGGTGGGGGGGGGGGGGGGGCACTTTTTTGCCCTCCCCTCGTATCTCCGAAACTACTGGACGGATCCGGAAAATTCAAACGGCGTTCGATAGCCCTGTCAAATTTGTTGAGGGAAACCAAATTTCATTGACCTCGGGGTCACCGATGACGTCACAGGTCAGGTCAAAGATAAAATGTTTCACCGTTCACGGGGCTTCTAGGGAAAGCGCTATACTCACCGAGTAAAACGCATTTTGTCGAAAATCAGCGATAAGGCGTCAGTTGTCTAGTACATATGTTGTTATTAGAGGTCACTGGTCATACCAGGTCAGGTCACAGGTCAGGTCACCAAAGGTCACCAAGGGTCACCACATGACCCAACTTTACTAAGGTTATGCGATGCATGTTTTATGGCCAGTTTTTCATTTCCAACTTAATGGTGTTGGTTATAAGACCATCAGGTACGGTTTAGGTCACTTTCTGGTGGAGGTCAGGTCAAGGTCAGGTAAAAAAGGTCAAATTTCAAAGTTGATATTTTTGCATAAAATTGGTATCAATTCGATGCAGCTCGTCACGGGGAGTCTAATGGTGGTCTTTGTTTTGCGCTACGAGGTCTAGAATTGCTAAAAATTGAGTTTGAAAATTTGACGTCATCAATTTTGAACAGTTTTTTCGCTATAACTTGGCCAAAAAAAGAGGTATCGATCTCAAATTTGGTATGTAGATAGAAGGCGGTAGGGTCTATCACATATATTCCAGGTTTTTCGAAATTCAATTTTTTTTGGATTTTTTTGGCTATTATATTCGAAAAATCTATTTTTTGATTTTTGGGGGTCAAAATCCAAAAAATTCGAAAACCGAAATAGCAGTTTTGTAGCCCTTTTAATTTTACACCTTTTATGTCTGAAACATTTTTGCTGTATCTCTAAAGCTGTAAGCCTAACAGCTCTTCCCGCGAAACCTTTTTTTGGGTCGAAAATGGCAAAAATGACGTCACTCTGACGTCATTAGCGGCCAACCTATCATATCCTTTGGAAAAAATTTTGGTTACCATGTGCGCTAGCTGCTCCCGGGAGGGTACTGAAAGTTTGGTGACGATTGGCGCAGCGGTTCTCGAGATATATCGAAAAAACTAAAGGGGGGGGGGCAAAAAAATGTCCCCCCCACCGCCTGGAAGGTTAAATCTCCTGAATTGTGTTTGTCTCAGCTCAAGCTACGGAACTGCTATTCGAGTTCAAAACTCCATGTTAATTAAGTGAACTATTTCCTTTAAATAAGATATTCATTTCTAACCAAACCACCTAACCTACAACCAATTACTGTTGTAGTCTACAACCTAGAGCCTACAACCTTCAACCATATACGATAATAATTTACAACCTGCACTGCAGTTCCTAACTTCCTCGCCTACTATAAGATATGCGCATCCTTCCCCGTGGCGAGGGTGCTTTACTCCCTTCCTCTGATCATGATTATTAGCGAAGATCTCACTGCCGTTTTCGGCACGCTTTTGGCCGGGGTAGCTATATGGTGTGGCAATTCGTCCTGCGATATTTCACGAGTTACCATCGTGGGCAGCGGACTCACTTCCATCGCAAGTCGTGAAAGGAGAAAAAGAGATAAGAGCTAATGAGGAAATATGGGTTTGTTTATGCTACCGCAGAAAGACAGGGTCAAATGCTTAACCCATTAGTGCCCAACTTATTTTTAGTCAAAATTTCAAACTTTTTTGCACAAAATACTAGCTTCTTTATCGAGTGTATTAGCTTAGGATGATTTTCTTGTTTTTTATCCCCCCCAATTTGTCGCCAGGGGGGTCAATAAATATATGGCTATGGGCACCTGGGTAGTCGAAATATTGCCACAAAGCGCAATTCAAAAGAAACTTTTGAGAACCAATGTATATTCTTAGATGTGTATGCTGATAGGCACTTGCCACTACCAACATGTGAACATATTATGAGATCAGGCGAATGATCGTGATGATTGATAGTGTCAGCGGTCAACAATCAATTACGATGATGAGTCAATGCACTACCTGACTCACAAACATCGAAGTGCATTGGACAGTGACACAGCTTACAGCAAACGCTGAAAACAAAACATCCCTCCGGGATCTAGACGGCGCTTGCAAACTTTCACCCATCTCACCGTATCCAACAGTGTTGGCCCAACTAGCCCAAATTTCCCCATGGTGTACAGCATGTTCTTACTCTCAGGTCGCATGGAACGGCACGAAGCACGCCACGCACAGCGGCACCTGGCACTTGCGACAGGCGGTCTTCGGGTGGCTCTTGCACTTTCCCTCCTTGTTTGCACACGTTCCCTGCTTGGCAAGAGGAACGACCAGGTGGTTGATACCATCGTAGCGGATGCTGGCTGGGACGCGATGCTGACTCGACGCGGAACTTGGACGTCCAGATGGTGGCTTCGTCGTCTCTGCCAGGTGATACCGGACGATGGCTCGGATGAAGTTGATCTGATTCTCGCCTGGATGATGCTGACGGTAGAGCAGCCAGGCGTTCTGCATCGCGGCCCCCAGAAGCCAGCAGAAGATGCACCACCAGAACTTCTTCTGTCGGATCGCGATGCGGTACGCGCCGATGTTCTGGTCCATGCGGTCGGTACCGCCCATGGCGCAGTTGTAGTCCTGAATCATCTGTGGCTGAGCTACCTTGATCCTCTTCTTCTCTCGTCGCGACCATCTTTGAACTTCAGCCACAGTTCGGGACGAGCTTACCGTAGATGCTACGGTCACCACGCTGTTATCCTTCCACCTGACGAGGTTGATGCCCTGCTTCGTTTCCACGGCGACAGAGGTGTCTCCCCTGGGAGCCTTCTTCATCGCTGCCACCGAGCTCAGCGGACATCCTCGGAGGCGGTTCTGGCGGATGGTTCCCGTGTGCCCGATTCCCTCCTCCTTCAGCGCCATCATCAGAGGAAGGCTGGTGAAGAGGTTGTCCGTAAAGATGTGCAGTGCGTCCATGCGCATCTCCTTCGGCATTCTGTCTATGAGGATCTTCACTGCTGATCCACATTTCCCGAAGGCGGCCTCATAGTCTGGACGCTGAGCAGTTCCGCTGGCACCTTGGTACACTTCGAAGGTCAGTAGATACCCATCTGGGCTGTTAAGGCACCACGCCTTGAACCCAAACCGTATGGGCTTCCCTCTCAGGAACTGTTTGCACCCGTGACGGCCATAGTAGGGAATCATGCTCTCATCCACGTCCAGTTCTGTGGAAGATGGCGGTCTCTGAAAAGCTCGCAAGAACTTGTCTTGCATGCTGTTGAAGAGAGGTCGCAGCTTGGCCATCTTGTCACTGGGGTCGAGACGCTGGTTGTCAGCGAAGTGGAGGACCGAAAGGATGTCGTCAAAGCGGTTCCTCGAGATGATCCGGGAGACGAATTCCACGTGCAGGTCAGGGTCTGTCGACCAGAAGGCCCGGCGGTTCGGCACGTTGTGGTATCCCGAGAAGTACAGGATCGCCATGACAGCCTTCAGCTCGGCGATGGAGGGCTCCTGGACATTCTTCCCTCTCCACTGGATATATCGGCGTGTCTCCTGAAGGAGTTGCGCATAGAACTCGTCATCCAAGAAGAAGCTCAGTACTTCAACGGGTGTCTTGTTCGAAAAGTTCACCTGTGGGTATGGGCAAGCTTCCTCTCGCTCCTTCAGAAATGAAGCGACCTCTCGTTTGCCCCACCTGTGGCTGGTTGGGGCGACCGATTCAGCAGCTTCGTCGTCAGAACCGTCCTCTTGGCCGACGAGTTCAGCATCTGCTTGCAGCAGGTTGCGGTTGAGGTTGTCGATGGTACCGCCTCCGTCCTCGTCTCCCGAGTCGGCGTCGCTGTCCTCACGCACGTTAGGAGGACACAGGAAGACAGTGGCCGGACTCTCGCCACTCTCATCAACTTCATCCAGGAGATCAATCAGCTTTCCAAACCTGGAAAATGATAGCAGACTGCAACGCACATTTTCGACCACCCAAACGCCCATGGCCATAAATATATTGACCCGTACAGAAGAGCGTCATGCTGCGGCAAATCTTCAACGAGGCTATTTTATTCGTTTCAGGGGTCTTAAGGGCAGTTCAAAGAAACATGTCTGTGAAATTTATTGAATTAGAACAGCTAAATAACTAAATACACTCACCGGCGTTTTTTCGGCATGTTGACGTAGTTTCGCGACTGTCAAGCAGAACAGAGAAAATGGCGCAGCAGCAGCAACCGCACATCAAGTCCTTTAAAAATGCTTATTTATATATGGGGCGTATATACTTTCATGAAAAACACCCACACTTTTGAGGAAAAAATTCATAAATTTGCGAAATATATATATGGCTATGGGCACTAATGGGTTAAATACCACATTTACGTCAGAATCTCAAAGGCTCAACAATCAGCTGATCTTGTACTAAACGTCGATAACATTGGATACTATAAATGTAACAACAAGGTATATTAGGGAACATCCGCCCCTATCATGCCCGAGCCATGGCCCATGGATGAGATAACACTATCTCATTATTATATCATCCATGCCCGAGCTATTGAGACTAGATGTCAATCGAACACTGACGTTTTGCCATTTTGCTATCAGTTTAGTATTGGTGCACACCGATACTAAACCGATACCAAAATTGGTATTTGATATTGCATTGATAATGTGTTTGGCATTTTACTTAGGTATTATAAATCCACGTTAATGTATAAGAAGCCGTGAATTCGGTAAAAATAGGCATTTCTTTCAGTTTTCCACGTTGATTCGGTTTTTGGTCTTTTCTCACGGTATATCGGTTGGTAAGTATTTGGTTTGATATCGGCATCCCTCCAATACAGACGTTGGGCTTTCCCCGTCAAATATTGAATGACTGAATGACATGAGACCGCTGTGGATTTTATTTGATAAGTCTCCTTCCTTGTCCCTTTTTTGTCCCGTATGCCTATGGATTCCGCTGTCCTGATGTGTTTCAATTATGGCAGAATAAGAAGTGATACCAGTAGTATTTATTTTTTCTTCCAAGGTGATGGCCCTGCAAGAGCCTTCCGACTCAAGGGTGCCAGTAACAGTTGGTTACATTAGACCAAATGGGCGCTCAAAATCTACTATCCCATTGGGTTTCCATGTTAAAGGGACCCTCCCACCTTCAAAAAAGTTAATGAATTGGCATGAAAGTGATGTCGCTCGGTTCAGAAAGAGCAAAAACGAATATCTACCAAATTTCATCGAAAAATATTCACCGGTTTTCAAGATATTAGACTTTTACTTTTGTTTACTTTTTGGGATCTCCGCTGTTCCTAGCGACTTTATTTGAAAGTGCGGCATTTGTTGCGCGCAAAGCAGCATATACCACCGCGTGCTACCAAACGTTTTAGTAAAAGATTTAAAATCGTTAGATCTCCGCTGACGTCACAAATTCTAAGGGGGCATACCAATGCATTAGCCCCTTAGAATCCGAAAACTGCAAGTTTGAAATTCGATATCTCCGAATTAAAGCATTTTTCGATGTTGTGAGTGCCCAAACCGGTATTTTCAGGCCATGGCCACCAATTTGGCTATCTCAACTCAAATCTAATGTTAAGGTGGGAGGGTCCCTTTAAATCCTCACACATAACACATCAGAGAAAGTGCTAAACCGATTGTGGGGAAAGGTAGCCTGAAGCTTTCCCTATAACATTTATATCTAGCGTTTTCGATGCCACAAGCCAGAGGCCCAGAACAGGTCCAAAAAGTTTTGGGCGCTGACCGATGTCCCAAAACTCAAAAGCCCCTCCATCAGGCCACAAGTTTCTGCTTATACCCACACTGCCGCAGTCTTGTACTTGAGTAGGTGAGTGATACCGCTCATGAACTCGAAGAACCAATCAGCATCCTTGTATATGTTACAGGCAATGTGTGGAATCAGGCATTCTATAGAATGCCTAGGCCTGACCGACCAGGCATTCTATAGAATCCCTAGGTATTCTATAGAATGTCTGACCCACCAGGGATTCTATAGAATCCCTAGGCATTTTATAGAATGCCTGATTTTCAGGCATTCTATAGAATGCCTAGGAAATACACGAATCTTTCCAACATATTAGTGTATGTTGTATGTATAAGATTATGAGCACAGACCGATATGTAACATTATTATTTTCTGCCAGGCTACCTTGCGGTCAGCTAGTTATGTTCATTCAGTCGAATGTTCATTCAGCCATGCATGTTCATTCAGTCAAATTTTCCGGTCAGGTATTCAATTTAGCCTAATTAGGTCAAATTGTATCAGGATTTCATCCTGAAAGTACACTGTACAGAGTATTTATCTTAACGCTAGAAAGACGATGGTGGTAATGTCAATATCGGAAACGCCTTTGGTAAAAATTACACAGAAAAAAAGTTTGACAAATCGTCCATTTCTGGAGGTGTTTGCCTTCTAAGGAATTGATTTAAGGTCAAACTGGAGAAAACGGCTACGAGCCAAAAATGGACAAAAAATTTGCCTGACCTAAAAATGGCTTAGCTATTTGTTTTAGATATGACATCCTTTCGAACATTGGCAAAGAAGAACTGGAGTAAAATTTCATTATTTTGACGACCTTTCGAATACCGCATGGCCCAGAAGTCAAGCTGGAAGGGGAGATCGAACAACACCTAATCCGGCTCTTGTTACGGCCGGGCCACCGCCCGGACGTGGAATAATGAACCATATGTTCAGTTTATTCACTGACATTACAGTGTAGGTTGAGCTGTCCATGTATATTGAGAGTCGTTACACGAAGTGCTTATGACGACATAAAATGTGACCTTTTGTATATTCTTCACCTTCATTTCTAACATCAGAACAAAGCCACCGTCATTCGCAATCACTTTCGATTCAAGCCTACGGTCCACCCTCCCAGCCAACACTCTTCTAATGCAGTTTCGTATCTGTAGCGGCGTAATCCTCCGAGGGTAACCGTTTGCGACTGGTTGGCCTGTGGCTCTCCTGCTTGCCTTGCGCCGTGGCTCTCCCGTGCCAACGGGATTGGATCAGTTGCAGCTTGCGGCGCACCATTTGGTGGTCGGCATAGCCCAATTTCTCCCTCGCTTCCTCTCAACTCATTGCCCTGAAATGGTGTGAGGTGACGACCGGCCTAGGCCAACAAAGAAAATTAGGTTAACAAATAGCATTACTGCCACTGACCCCTAATTTTCGAAGTGTGTTTCGGGCAATCAAAATACTTAGGCATTCTATAGAATGCCTGGGAGCTTAAGCCAGGCATTCTATAGAATGCCTAAGCAGCCAGGGATTCTATAGAATACCTAGGGATTCTATAGAATGCCTGGTCGGCCAGGCATTCTATAGAATGCCTAGGCATTCTATAGAATGCCTGATTCCACACATTGCCTGTAACATATACATTTCAAGATGTCACTGGCATCACACAAGTCCTGCTCACGAACACGTTGAGGAATGTCACAGCTGCGCCATTTCTCTTTCTAACGGTCCCTTCCATCTTAGTATCAACTATGTTCTTAAACTAACCTAGGACTAATTTTTAAACTAAGGTTAACCCTCGCCCGTATTGGTGTTTTTCCAGCCGCGAACGTATAAGGGGGGGGGGGTCCGTTGGACCCCCCCCTTGCCGTTTCGCCCCTGATCAAGCTAGAGCTTCGCGGAAAAAACGAGCGTGTTGCCCGTGACGAGAGGAAGCCGATGATACCCAATTTTAAGGTCCTAGGTCATTGGTTGACCTTGCAGGTCAGGTCAATGACCCCCAAGGCGGGAAAATCGGGACCTGTTAGAACGTCGTAAAGTGTGGCTGCTATGGGGTTTTTCGGGATGCTGATCACGAATATCATGTAAGTTTTGATCACAGATGATGTCTTCATGTATTTAGGCCAGGTCGGGTCAGGTCAGGTCAGGTCAACCAGTAAGGGTATTCGTAGTAGGTGGCAACCGCCTCTGACAGCTTCGTAACATGTTACGAAGGCACCAAAACTACTTCGTAAATGTTCATATGGTTGCTAAATTCGAATTCAGCTAAAAAAACTGGCCTAGAAACATGTAAAACTCGAAAAAGTGAACCGAGGTCATCAAAGGTCAATGACCTGACCTGACCTTCAGATGACCTTGACACCCACCCTAATGCATGGGGGCAACATCATATCACATGTTTGAACGCTTGAAACCACGAAAAGACTGCAAACGCGCGGCTAATGCGAGCCGACATACGCCGAATCGCGATTCCGTCCAAACATGGTCTCGAAAAGTAGGTCACAGGTCAAAGGTCATTTGGGTCAGGGTCATGAAATTTTCAGGGTAGGTGTGAAATTGATGAACGCGAGGGTACTGAAAGTTTCGTCGCGATCGGCCGCTTTTTACGCGAGTTATTCGCGAAAGACCATGGGGGGGGGGGGGGTCCGTTGGCCCCCCCCCCCCTATACGGGCGAGGGTTAATGTGTATTTTTTGGTACAAATGATTCAAAAATAACTACTTTATGAAATTGGCTGAACTCCTCACAATTTAATATCATTTTTTCACATCCAAAAAATATAAAAGCTACTCTGTAGGTAGGTATCTCCTCCAGATAAAATGGACGCTTTCCGCGTCGTTGGTGTACCTATCCGACGTTCTATATACCCAAATATAACCTGCTCGACTTCTTCCTTGGAATCGGCCTTGAAAACAGATTAAGTGTTTACCAACTGAAGGAAGCTTTTCCATAAGTATGCTGTGCGCTATGCAGTGCAGTTGAAGTCGCTCAGGCCAGTGGGCTCAGCGGCTCAGCGTTCTCAGCGGCTCGTCCTGCCCACGGACCTCGGGACGGGCCACTCCAGGTCGCCAAAGCCGCCGCCATCTACTGTGTAATGCCGCTCCACATACGTCTCAAAGCGTCCCGAGTGCCTCTCGACTCCGCGGGACTCCTGCGTCACTTTCGGCTGGATACGGCGCCGGATACCGGTCGATGTAATGGCCAAGCGCGAAACGTACTGCATATTTCCATTGCTAAGATCGATTCTTATTTGCATTGCATATATGCTTTACAAACAGCACTACCATTGCTCGAAGTTAGTACATTTTCTCGCTTTTGCAATGAGCGAGGCTCTTTGAATCCGATCGCTTAACGTTGAACTTTCATGACCTTGTCTTCACGTATAACATCTGTGCATTTTTCATTTAATTGTAAATAAATTCAAAAAGGTGTGTCATAGATGGCACCGATCACAGAATGCAGAATGAACGCTTTTCTTCATTAGACACAAACGGCAACGGCGCCGTGCTGGGAGGGGGGGGGGGGAGGTTACGCCCCCCCACCCCCGGTTTTTTCGCGAATATATCAAGAACGCGTC